TGATTAAAAATTAAAAAATTGCTCCAATTTCTACCTTTTCCATATTTTGAAATTTTAATCTAAAGTGTTTACTAACTATCCTGAGAAGTGTGACTGCGATCATCTGCAATTTTTTTCTGCAAAAATTAATCTTTTAAAAAAATAAAAAAAAACTTGGTATAATTTTATTCATTCATTACTAAAACAAATAAATCTACTATAAGGTACAAAAAACTAGAGTGAATTTGTTTTTGTGTTGTTTTTGAAAACTCTTTTTTATTATTTTAACTTGATGTGTTTATAGTTATAAATTTTATAATTAGTTTAAGAAAAAGTTATTTTAAATTTTGAAAAAGCGCAAAAAATTTTTTTTTTTTACTTTTCAAGTATATTGTTGTGAACTAAAACAAATGGAGGAATCAATTAAAAAATTTTCAGGTTTCAAAAAGTCCTTTTGATAACATAAATAGTGGTTTTGCAAGGTATGTAGTACTATGGTATGCATCATATCGAAAAAATATATATTTAATAGTAGAAATCAGGTTTGGCTTAATTCAGTTTTTAAAACAAATGATTTAGTTAAATCACTAGCAACCCAAAATTAAATTTTTTTAACCCTGGTCAACCAACAAAAGATTTTGATGAATCATGGTTTTGCACCAAAAGGCAATTGATAGCAAATATTTTATTTGATTCAAAAAAAGAAAATCATTAAAAAAAGTTATTTGCACAATTACTGTCATTAGAGTTATATATACATCTAGTATACATCTAGTGACATCTCATTAAATTACTTAGTGTCATTAGAAAGAGGTGAAATGTTATTACTTAACACTCAGTTAGCAATGTTGCAAGAAGAAATGACACATGAAGAAGCTGTTTACTTCTTGGATAATAAACTCTCAAAAAGTGTTTATAAAAATACTAAAATTTTTTTAATAAAAACCACCATTGCAACATGCAGATTTCCATCTTATTGAGCAATTTCCAAAATAAAAACAAGTGCTCAACTTTAAAAACATCCATTGAATACACTAAAACAAAGACCAAAGTTAAACTACAGGATCTTATGGATCACACATTCAAGCAACTTGAAATTACAGGAAAAAAAAAAGACTGATGAACTAATACTAATTAGTAATTAGGATATTGGCAAAACATTCATGGCCACTCAAAATGCTATCAACCTTTTGAAAATTCCCATTAAAATAACGTTCAAAATATCTATTAGTTTCAGCAACGTCACCAACTGTATGAACATTCAGATCCAAACAATAGTATATGGAATATCACATGGCATTTTACCACAACATGCTTGGATTAGGTTTTTTGAAATTATTCTACATATTTCAAATAGAGCTGAAAAAAAACTTGCAAACAATTGCAAAAAATCATTTGATCCACAAAAAATTGATAAGTAATGCAATGATGCATATAAGAAATTGTTAGAGGTCTATGATTGGCTCTATGTCCCAGCTTCCATTCACAAAGTAGAATTCAACAGTTCCATTTGGTTTAAAAGGAGAAAACGGAACGAAATCTTGACAAAATTTATAAATTTCATCGTGAACACCATGCAAGAAAAACTTTTACAGATGAAATCAATGACTTTGTTGAATTATATTTAAATGTTGACATCGTTGACAAAAATCTAGAATTAGATATATATGTAAATGAATAATGTTCTGAATTATGTATAATGTATAGCGTTATAGTCGTTTGTCTACTATATCAGTTTATTAAATATAAATTGAAATATTAAAAATTGCAATGGTTGGGGTCCAATCATTAGCCTCAAAACAAGATCACCCCAAAAAGTTACCCCATTCTTAAATGTGAGGGTAATTGGTAAACTATTTTTTCTTTACAATTTTGTAATCAATTTTTATAATTAGTTTTTAAACTTATTTCAAATGATTATTTACAATTTTCTTTTTGTTGTTAGGGTAAAATTGAAATGACTTTAGAAATAATAACAGAGGAAGAGGTTGAATTAAAACCAGCTGGTCAAGGTAGAAACGAACCCAATCTTAATCCAAAACTTGATCCACCAAAGTATGTTATTATATTTACTTTTTTGAAATTCTAAAAATAATATTTTTTGAAAACTCTTCCTAAATAAGACATGAACACTGATAATTTACTTTATTATTTTAAATAAATGTATTTTTATAAAAAATTATTCTTGATAAATTATATTAAAGAAATAAATTTTTAGTCGCCCTGAAACATCTTTTCTGTGGATTACATCTCCGTGGAAAACGCTGAAGTTTATACTTTGGAAAAGGTACAAATGGCTTATGATTGGTATCCTTGTATTCCTCATTCTTGCATTATTCATTGGAATATTCCTATATAGCATGCCCGTAAGTAAAATTTAAGAAATTTTTGTTATTTAATGACAATAAATTAGATGTTGCGGTGTTTATTAGCCAATTAGTTAATTTTTAATTGTTACGGTACCTTACATTACAATAACTTCTCGCATCTTACGATATCTTATCTTATGAACGTTACGATAACTATTCGTATCATTTGAAATGTTTTTAAATTTAGGGTTATACAGTTAAGAAGATGTTTGGTGTTTAACGCTTCTACTTTTTGTGAGAGTTTTCTAGTGATTATTTTTTAATGGAATTTGCGTATTTGTTTTTAGAAATCATTTTAGATTAGGTTTTTTCGTGGGTTGTAGAGTTTTTTATAACATTTTTGAATCTATTTTTGATAAATTTTTTTATTTTTTGCTCGTGTTTTTGATTTTTAACTTATTTAGCTAGTATTAACAATTTGAAAATAAATATATTTCGTAAAAATTTTTTAATTTTTTTTTTTTTTTGGGTTTTGATAAAAAACTTTATACGATAGAAATAATATTTTTTTTATATATATAAAAATGACGTGACGTAAAAGGGAGCTAATTTTGAGTTAATGTTATGTTGTATTAGTTATAACTAATTTTGAAAATGCAAGTCATATACACAAAAAAACTTGCGGTTTTGTTTTTATTCGTTTCATTCATCTCTATAGCGACGGTTTCAGAAAGGATAAAATGATGATAGATCTAATTGTGGCTTCGTATTTTCCGACAATTTCTTAATGGGAAATATACTGACTAATATCGTAGGTTAATTATTTATTTATCGTCGCATTAATTATGTAAATGCGGAGAATGAGATGAAGTAAAGCGGGTTTTTTTTTTTTTTGTAAAGTTAAGAAATTAATTTATCGTACCTTATTATAAGGCGTACCAGTTGAAAAAAGTTTTTTTTTTTCGATTTAAAGATATTCAATTTAATAAATTAAAAGACTATGGAAACAAAAGACTTGGATTTCAAGAAAGGTTAGAAACAAAAAAAAACCTTTTTCTTAATAATTTTGTCTAATACAATATTGTTGCAATATTGCATATAAATATTTTTTTATAAACTTTGTTTCAATTCACATTAAGACTAATTAATTTCCATAAAGTAAATGTTTTAAAACAGATATTTTGTTAAATTGTATTAAGCGCTTTTATAAGTGCTTTATATAAAACATATTAAATACGTTTGTGAACAAAAAATAAATACAATGTTACATTTAGAGCATAAGAACATCATTGAGATATCGTTTTAGTTTATTAAAATTCACAATAACGATTATCCTTATGGGGACAGACCACAGAAAAGAAAATTCATCAAAAATTTTCAAAATAGGGCAGAAATGTTGTCGCTAAATAAAATAAAATGTTTTTACTGAAAAGCGATTTTGAAAAAATTTTCTAAAAATCCATAATGGCGTAAAAAAAATGGTAAAAAACACTTAATTTTTATATTTTCAAAACACGTTATCTTGAGTTAGACTTAGGAACCGCGAATTAAACTTTGCAGATCTGTTGATAAAATTATCTTCCTCCATTTAACAGATAGATTTTTGATAAGTCTTTTTTAAATGTAAATATAAATTTTGAAACTCAAAACAAATTAGCTTACAATTTTTTAAATTAATTTTTCATACAATAAACAATAGATGTGTTTGTGGTTGTTATGGCGTTGCTAAGATAAACAATGTTGTTAATTTAGGTTTTTCTTACATTTCCAAATATAAACTCTGCTTTTGGCGTATTAGAACATTTACAAAAAATCATGCACGTAAACTGGTATTTTTTTGTCCAATACTTTCATAATCATAAAACTGGCAATCTCCAATTTACTCACATTTTATTCTAATCTACATAAATATTTTGTAAACAAAGAATGGTATACATTAGTAATGTTATCAAAGAATAAATTAAGTTTGAGTCAGAATCACGCATGGAACAGAAAAATGCAAATTTAGTTACAAGATAAATAAACTTAATTTTAGAAAATATTAGCTTTTGCAGTATAATTTTTTTAACAATATTTTAGATATAGGTAAATATTTATAGAATGTTAAAGGATTACACTATTATCATAGAGCCACAGGAATTGCCTAAATGCAGTTCATGTATAGCCACGCACGGACTTGTGAGTATTTTATGTAAAATATTATATCTTTACAACACATATCTCTACAGCACAAACGTCTGTTTTTAAAAAAATTTCTCTATATCGAAAATTTTGTCTAAAAATAAAAACAAGGGTCTTTTAGAAAAAAAGTGGGGGGGGGGGGACACGTGCTTTCCCCCCTTCCCGGCAGTCCTTTTAATTACATTAATACTGTCGATAACATTGAGGTTTTGATTTTCTAAGATTTCTGTTAATATTTTTAACTTCTCCATGATATTCTTCATGAAGAAAAAAGTAATAATAAATTCTAAAGTTGTTACTTTTTTCAGAAGTCACATTGGCTTAGTTCTCGTGTTAGTATCGAAAATTTTATTATTTGAGATGCTCTGAAGAAGATCAATAACCTTCTCTAAACACTGATTTAGAGCCTTAACAGACTTTTTTCGTGTGGTCAATTTTGTTCTAGACAGGTTTACAAGCTGTATTGCATTTTCAATGTCTTTAAGTTTTTCCTTTAAATGACTAAATCTTTTTGTGCTTGATGCGAAGAAAACATGCAACTGTTTAAGAACATTAAACAATTCTCGTATTAAAGTATTAACAATGCAAGCATGTTCAAGAGCAGTACTTGTTCTATGGTCTTTACAAGGTATGTAGGGCACACTATGGCCTTCTTCTGTTATATACTTTTGTTATCCCTTAAATTGTCCAGACATTGAACTCGCGTAGTCATACAACTGAAAGGCATAGACAAATCTTTGATTTGTCTATGCCACCTTTATGTAAAGAAGATAAAATAAGCTCAGCCATCTCTTTTCCAATCTTATCAGTGCATTCGACTGATTTCAAACGTCTTTCCAGAATTTCACCGTTTTCCAGTGAAAACGGTGAAAATAATTTTTTCACCGTTCTCACAAATATATGGATATCTGTAGCCCGAGACAAACTGTCCCTTTCGCCCCCTCCTCTCGGCGGCACTGCTCTTATGACAATAGAATAAGACTAATAACCTTATTATATATTCTTATTCATATTATGCTTTATCCTACAAACCTAATTCTGATCCTACTTTAGCATACTAATAATAGAAAGTAATAACAGGCGTAAAGCGTTCATATCAGAGTTTATTTTCTTTTACATTTTTATAAAAAGCTTTATACAAAATTATTATATTAAAAAATGAATCGTATCACTTTAAATGATATCATATCTTACATACAAAGACAGAAATGTTAAAATCAATGCATAGAAATAAGGTTTCACATTATTTTAAAAGTAAAAAGTATGGAAAAAAAGTAATAACTGCTTTTAGTTAAACATAAAGCGTAAACTTGTTGCTCACCGTTGTACATTTTGGGTCAAAAACTCTGATGGCTTAATCTGAGAAAATGGTTAGCATTGGGTAAAAGTACATTCATGCCTGGTACCTGGGAACGAAATTTTGAAATCAAACTATTTCTTCCGCAAGAATAAATTCAATTCGAAATTTCTCTTTATTTTTTCTCAAAATGAAATGACAGATTACATGTTTTCTTTGCATTTCTACAGTATAAACATTTTTTTCTAAATAAATACAAACTAAATTAAACAAAAAATAACAACTTTCTATAATATCTTCTCAAAATTAGCAAAAAAAGTAAACACACATTCTTCAAAAATGGTAAAAAAATATTCTTGATTCACTATAGAATCTACGACATTAAACAATCACAAATGCTTGCTATTGAAATCCACTATGCAGCTTTTCAATCTGTTTGGATACTCAGATTGTGATGAAGACCTCTTATATTTTTGCCAATCGTTGCTGAAGTAATTCAAGGGCCTGTTCACTGAAAATTTTATGATTTTATTATTTTTTTCTTGCAATAAATTCCTGTACATGGTAAAACACTGCATGAACCTTGGGTGTGACACTTCCTTGAGGAAGTGAAAGATAGGCCTTTTTGAAGTTGTCAATTTTTTCAGCATAATTGGGATCAAGCTCTTGACCAAAGCAAGCCTTGACAACGTTATTGAATATCCTAAGTGTGTTGGTAATTTCCACAACTTGAAATGCAGCATTTGATTCAATAAGCTGCTGTAAAAAGTCCACATTGTTCAAAAGTTTTTTTGCAGGCATTGCCTGCAAACCGCCCTCCATGGTAAGATTCTTGGTGAGTATGCTGTTTATCAGGCTCTTCTTCTGCCTTTGGCCAAAAGTATTTCATAGCCTTGAATAAATGGTTGGTTACACTAAGAAGCAAGTGCAGCTCCATCGGGGGAAAAATGTCTATGATAGGTCTGTCATCAGATCCTGTCAGAATGGGCTCATGAACAACATTTCTATAAACCTTTACCTTCCCATGATCATTTTTCGATGATTTGAAATCATGATATTTGGCTTTGAGTGATCCAATTGTTCTGCTCCCACCACATAACTCCAAGTTCTTTGATTCCACATTGCACCATGAACAAGGATGGGAACTGGAGTGTGATTAAAGTCCAAGGAGAAGATTTGCTTCTTTCAAATCACAAGAAACAACAAGCTAAATCTGATTTGGATTTATGAGTGACCAAATTTGCTTGAGGCTTTCATATGACCCTGGTAGATTCTCAGTAATAGCAATGATTAGTTGTTGTCTAACATTGGTATCTTTGGCCTGTATTTGTGTGAGAAGTCGTTGTTTGCGGGGAGGTGAATGCAGTTCTTTAGAAGATTTATCTACAATCACACTAAGAGTGAATTTTAGGAACCCACCTCCACCATCTATACCAAGCTTAAAGAAGTGACTGCAGAAAATTTTTCTGTACATCAATACTTCGTCAATTATGTCTTGCATAGATTTGCAGTAAATGACCAGATGACCTCCTTCTGATTTTGCGTGTTATTCTCCCGTGGGTATTGTACTCTGGGTGAATAAGTCTGAGAGAGTTTTTCCAAAGCTGTCAAACTTTGACCGAAAATTTGGTTCTACCACTTTAGCCTTGGCAACTTGGTTCAAGGTGGATGCTAATTTTTAATGCCAAAGTTAGACAATCCAATATTTTGTTGGGCATAAACAAGACTTTCTGTAGTGATTGGAGAATCATCAAAAAGTTTTCTTGCACTTAAAGGATCTACAAGTAAACTGAATAAAATTGTTGAAAACTCAATAGAAAGCAGACTTGTTAAAATAATCTCAAGTTATGTGTCTTCGGAGCCATCAATGTTTAAATCAAAGCTAAATCAAACTTAAAAAACAATGCAGTCAAAATAATAAGAAATGAAACAGTACCTGGTGTAACTTGTAAGGGAGGGCCTCCTCCAGGCCTTGACATCCGTATTGTGCCGTTGAGAGATGATTTCTTTCTTGAAAATACTTGAGTAGCAATTTGTTCTGCAGTATTTGTATCTTGAGATGCCAAAAGTCTTATATTTTCTCTAAATGTGGATGGTATGCAGGAATGAGTAAGTCCACATCCAATAAGGCTTAGGTAGCCACCACACCTTTGAAGCTTTTCTTCTTCATAGTGGGGAGTTGATAGAGGGCTTTTTTGGTTGAGCTTTGAATGCCCAATTCGGCAAATAAGGCAACAGCAGTCTTCCCCACGAGTTGGTGGTTTCACTGTGATGGATGAAAAATAAAATAAGACTAGAAGTTGTGCATCTTTCCCTGCATCTCTTCTTCTTAGAATTGTCCAACAAGCTTCACGAAGTCCAAGTGAAATCCTGACATCAGATGTTTCCAAAGGCTGATTGTAAATTGTTGACAATCTTTGAATTTGAAATTGTGTCCGTTGATTTGTACATTTGTGGAAACACAGGTAACAAACAGTTTTCCTGCATTCCTCATTTTTCTTAGCCCAATTAGGCATTTTAAGTGTTTTTGTATCAAACTTCTGTTTAAAAAAC